ACTACTACTACTACTACTACTACTACTACTACTAGCCTACTACTACTACTACTACTACTACTACTACTACTGCTACTACTGCTACTACCACTACTACTACCACTACTACTACCACTACCACTACTACTACCACTACCACAACCACAACTGCAACGTCAACCACAACCACAACTGCAACGTCAACCACAACTGCAACGTCAACCACAACCACAACTGCAACGCCAACCACAACCCTAACCACATCCAACAACAACCACATGGCGACGAGTAGAATCTGCCCCATGCCTGGGTTTGAGCAGCTCGATCATCCATGCCACGGACTCAAGCTCCTCGCCAGGGTATTAAAGGGCAGAGGCTCTCGCTCCTCCTCACATGGCCTGGGCTCGGAAGGAGACCGACCGAGCCGCCAGATGCACGGCTGCTGCAGCCCCCAGCGGCTCCCAGCTGTGGAAGCCTTGCTGATTTCCGACTTCCCTTATTTCTACAACATCAACGAGAAGTGGCTTGGCGACCGAGCGCCGTCCGTAAGCTGCTCTACGTCAGCGGTGGCGAACGCTGACACTGCCATGACAATCCGCCAAAGTGAACGGAAACCCGCGACGTTTGTCTCTGTCATCAACTACGCTTTGCCTTTCAAGCTTTCCAACCACGAGCTCCGCACAATGTTTGAAGCCTTCTTCGGAGCCGCAGCGTTCAACAAGAGATTCTGCAAGTTCAACCTTACAGGAGGCTCAGAGTGACAGAACGTTCCTCAGCGTGCAAAAGCGGATCCAGCCAACAGCCAACGGCCACCAGTTTCACCTTTTTTCGGAGTTCCTTCCGCACTCCGCAGAGACTGCACACACTGTGCAGGCGAAACTTCCCTGTAGCTGCAGAGCAACAAAACTGCTTAGCATCGAAACGATGCTTTTAAATGAGACGTCATCATAGGCCCGTTGAACCAATGCCGACTTTCCAGGTTCTTCGCAGGCACAGGTACTTAACATGTAGCCGCACCACAACGGACACTGCAGCAGCAAGTTCGAGCAATCGAGCGGCACATGAAACCAGCAGTCGTTGTCTGAGATGTCCCTTGTCGTCCCGCCAGGTGGATCGAAGATTGAGTCCACAGCCCGTGGCCTTTCTACCAGTCAGGGCCGAAGAAGGTGCAAGGAGTTTAATGTCCAGCTGGAGTCCAACTGTCGTCCTTCGGTTGGCTGCAGGTGGCAAGTGTTTGGAAGTTTGACGTAAACCGAGTAAACCAAAAATGAGGCGAAATGTTTAAACCTGCTTGCTTTAAATGCATCCATGCAATCCTCTCACCACCATGTTTAAACATGCTTAAGTTGGTCAAACTTGTTTAGACCAGGCTATGCCTTACACGAGGCTGAAGTTTAAACACATTCGGGATGAACACATTCGGGATCTGTAGCACACAGGGAACTGTTTAAACATGTGTTTAAACATGGGTTTAAAGACATTCGGGATGTGTGGCGCGGAAGTATTCAAACATGTGTTTTAACATGTTTCACCAGATTCGGAATGAGTGGCAGTCCGGGATCCGGCCCAAGTGTGTTTAAGCATCTTTAAAAGCCCATGCTGGCATGTTTAAGCCATGGCTTAAGCATGACAGTACGACTACACAGCTGGAACGAATAACAAACATCCACAGACTGGACAAACATGTTTCAACATGATTAAGTTCAACCATAAAACCTTAACATGTTTATAAGGATCCTGCAAACATCTAGTTTTCGGAATGCTGGTGTAGGGAATTTCTGCGTTTTAACCGTGGCCCATGCAGTGCCAAACTGCAGTGAAGATTGTGCGAAAGTCTTAGGAACCGCCACAACAAAAAGAAGCTGAATGCGTCCGAAAGGTCTTGAGAACAATTTTCGGAGTGCTGGTGTATGCAGTGCCAACCTCCCGTGAAAATGGTGCGAAAGTCTTGGGAAATGCCCAACAAAAAAAGCAGAATGCGTCCCCTATCCTGTTTACAGCGCTTGCTATGTGCTTAGGCGTCTAATATATATATATATATATACAGCGGTTGCGGTGAGGCCTTCCCTTTATCCCGTTTACACCGCTTGCTGCGCCGTTTTGCTTCTATCTTATGTTCTGTGTGGCATTGCCCCTATCCTGTTTACAGCGCTTGATGTGTGGCTTTGCTTCTATCTTATGTACAGCGGTTGCTGTGTGGCATGGCTTTACAGCGCTTGCTGCGCTGTTTTGTTTCTATCTCATATACAGCGGTTGCTGTGTGCAATTGCCCCTATCCTGTTTACAGCACTTGCTGTGTAGCTTTGCTTCTGATGATATGTACAGCCGTTGATGCGTGGCACTGCCCCTGTCCTGTTTGCAGCGCTTGCTGTGTGGCTTTGCTTCTGTCTTATGTACAGCCGTTGCTGTGGCATTGCCCCTATCCTGCGTACAGTGCTTGCTGTGCGGCTTTGCTTCTGTCTTATGTACAACGGCTGCTGTGTGGCATTGCCCCTAACCTGTTTATGGCGCTTGCTGTGTGGCTTTGCTCCTATCTTATGTACAGCGGCTGCTGTGTGGCATTGCCCCTATCCTGTTTACAGCGCTTGCTGTGTGGATTTGCTTCTATCTTCTGTACAGCGGCTGCTGTGTGGCATTGCCCCTATCCTGTTTACAGCGCTTGCTGTGGTGTTGTGCTTGTATCTTATGCAGCGGCTGCTGTGTGGCATTGCCCCTATCCTGTTTTACCGCACAAGGCGGTGTGGTTTTGCCTGTATCTGATGTACAGCGATTGCGGTGAGGCATTGCCCCTATCCTGTTTACAGCGCCTGCTGTGTCGTTTTGCTTCTATCGTATGTACAGCAGTTGCTCTGTGGCATTGCCCCCGTCCTTCGAACAACGCTTGCTGTGTGGTTATGTTTACAGTACTTGCTGCGTGGTTTTGCTTTTATCTTATGTACAGCGGTTGCTTTCTGCAAAGGAACGCCCATATCCTTGCCCAGGTCTTCATAGGTGGAGTAGAACTTCAAATGTCGGAGGCAGCTTGAGCGGCGGCGTCCAGTCCGTTTCGAAAAGACGACAAAGCTACAAATGAAATCTAGGGCGGAGAGGGGGCTTGTTCTTCCACATCTCGCCGGTCACGTAATCACGGCGGCCAAGCTCATTGCAGAAACGGTCACCGTTTGCCAGAACAACGCCACCAGCTGCTCGAAGCGCTGCAGCCAAGCACTTCAGATAACTTCAGCTTTGCATCCGGGTCGTCGGGCTCCAGCAGAACCCACTCCAAGTTTATGGTCGCCACTTCGATGGCTTCACCCATTTTGATGACATTCCCTGCAATGCTCACCATTGGTGGTGCAAGATCGGCTCCAAATCCACCGGAAGCCAGCAAACTCTGTCACAGAGTTTCCTATTTCCTGCGTTTTTGTATTCACAGCCCACAACCGTCTTGGCAGTGGTGGGTAGCTTGTACACGCCTGGTTGACGATTCGCGCCCTGTTGGACTTCTCCGCGACCTTCTCGAGCATCTGAGAGCGTAGGTGATGGCCATCCCACGGAAGCGCTCCTTTCCGCGGTGGGTCCTGGCTGGTCCATGTCGACCTTGTGCACAAGCCAGTCAAGGTCTGCTGTGCTGGCACAGAGGACTTTCGCAAGCGCAGATGATGCGCAGTCGCACAGCTGCTGCGCTGACGCTGGCCTCTTCCTCCCAGGGCTATGCCAGAACGCCCTGGCATGGCCCTGGCCTGCGGCCACGGCCGTGTCCACGTGAGCATTAGCGCTGCAGATTTGTTTGAGTCGCAACACCATCTCAAAGAACCTACCTATAGACTGCGCCCCGTGCACCACCGCATGGATTGCCAAAGTCGAGAACGTGCAGCTCAGACAGGTCAGAGCAACCTCGCTCGACGAGCGCAGCAGCCTCATGGCTTCAAACTCACACTTGTAGGATCCTTGGTCCTCATCATCCTTTATGCCAGAGGTGGCAGCAAAGTCAACTTCCGGCAGCACCACCAACATTCCGCTCCGAGCCGCCATCGGTAGATCCAATCAAGTGGACCGGCAAAGGTGGCACGTCAGAGACCAGTTCAGACACTCTTGCTGGGCCACGAGGGGAGGTGAAACGAGGCTCCTCTTCGGGACCGCCAGAAGGCGCTCCAGGAGCGAGTCGACTCGCAGGCAAGAGTTCTGCGAGGTCACACAGACACACCGTGTCCGGACGACCAAAGTTAGCACCATGGAACCAACCTGACCCACCGAAGGCAAGAGCGCCAGGAAGGTCAGGATGGCAAGTACGGGACCACGTACGTTTGTGGCAGCCGCCCTCGCAAAGGAGGCCGGAGGAGGTGGCAAGTCGAGACCACGGACAAGGTGGGCCCCCGGCAGGTGCAACGACGCTGCGCTTGTCAATCACGGAGTTCAGGAAGGCCGTCATCCGACGGCAACAACTCATGCCAATCCTTCGGCTTGCAGTGCATCTGCAGTCATGGGTCTTGGTGCCAGCACCGTTAATGCCAGTGGTGGCCTTGGTGCTGTTTCAACGATACTGACGCCGAACATGCCCGCAAGGCCACTGCCGGCGACGATCACCTTATTGGCCGGAAAGACGGCCGCCATTTCGAATGCAGCAGCTCCAGAAATACTCCCTTTCAGTGGCTGCTTGTGTGACTTTTCACGAAAAGGACTTGAGCACGGGAGGAATGTGGCAGAACAATTACGTATTCAATTTGTTCTTCCAACCACTTCCGGAGGCACAGTATGTGCCCCCGAGGGTTCCGCAGTTTTGCTCGATAGGTGCACCAAGGCTCCGAACCCAGCTTGCTAGCCATGAATCGCTCAGGCAAGCTCCTCGAGCGGCGCGCTCCTTGCATCGTCTCTCTTAGATAGCAGTCTTCAGAAAGATATAAGCCGAGCTCGCGGCGAGCAGCCAGGCTTTGGCCTCTACCAGACAAGAATTCAAGAGCTGAATTCAGTGATGCCATGCCCTGAAGACAACGCCAAGAAGCCTTCGAGGGCAATGCACGAAGATTTCGCAGCAGGGGTGCATTTCGCAGTAGCCAGTGGGCTTGCCTCACAAATCTGTTGCTGCTACATAACAGCAACCAGCCAAAGAACACCAACACAGGTAAGGAAACCCACAGGTAAGGAAACCGCTCGGCCAGCGGTGCATCGGCAGAAGCAGGATCTCACCACGGTGCTGCGTTTCGAAGACTTGCCGCTCAAATGCATGACTCACAGCTGAAGCAGCGCAGCTTGCACCTGCAGACTGAAGCCACGACACCGTCGTGTGCGAGGCGGACAGTTCCACATCTGTCCCGTTGGGCCGAAAGGTCGGCCGAAAGGTCTCAAGTCCCAAGGATGGAGGCTCGACCTGCACGGAGCAGAGTGGCCAAGGCCCAAGAGTCCTTTGGTCCTTTGGTCTGCCTGACAACGGTCCGGCGTCACCTCCTGCTTTGCTTGGGGTTTGGCCTCAGTTCTCACCACTTTCAACACACCAAGCCACCTGCCGAAAAAATCAGTCGATGATCTCCACAAGCCGAAAACATCCAAAGCTCTGAGGCTGGCCCTTGCCAAGTCCCTCTACACGGATCTACACGGGCTGTGGCTCTGACCTCGGACAGTGACTCCAGCCTGAGCCGACAGTATCCGACAGTCGTCTGATCTATGTGTGGACATCTGAACAGACCTCCGACCTGCGCAGGGCGGCAGCTTCTGCAGAAAGCTCCGAACCTCACATCCGACACACTTCCGTGGCCTTCTGGCCGCCGCCTTCTCCCGGTCTAGACTCTCGCGAAGAACGAAATCAAAGGTTAGGTCCGATGGCCTCCTGGTTCACCGCCTTGGTCGCAAGGCTTCATGTGCTGTCTCGTCGCGCCATGGTCATTAAAGTTGCTAAGTTTGAAAGCACGCGCCTCTCCGCAACCTGATGATCCTAACATCTACCCTGCCGGCCTGGTAACTGAAGAAGCCACTCTTGCGCAAGCGGGGAAAGCTGGAGCTCTTTCGTGCCGAACCTGCAGCAGCGACTCACTCGAACTCATGCTCGGCTTCCGTCCTTCCTCGGGCGATCGCATTTTCTCCGCATCGGAATGTCTCGGGCCCGAGAGTCGCACTGATCGCTATGGCAAGCGGAAAATGCTGCTGCGTTTCGACAAGATTTAGAACACGGAGGGGAAGTTGTTCTGGACTGTAAGCCCATTGGCCAATTCAGGATTCTTCCGTCATAGATCTGCTGGCTATCAGTTGGCCAGGATGTCGTTGCTGGGCTTGTTCTTGAAGGCATCGTACATCACGAAAGGAACTTCTTTGCCTTTCCGTAAGGCCTCAACATCAGCCTGCATGATGTCGTACGGGACATCCCCTACCAAAGCAGTCTGGACCCGATGCGAGGAGTCCACCAAAGCTACATGAGGCAGACCGTCCACCTTGAATTTTCGCGCCCACCTGTCAGTGTCCTTGTCGTACGGGAAGGTTGACGGCATGTCTTGTCCTGCAAAACAACGCTGCTGACACATCTTGAATATGTATAAGTGCCCTGGGGAGGGAGGGAACGAAAGCTACGGCGGTGAGACCGGGCTTGAATCATTGAAGGATGCGTCGGTGATCGGGAAGCCAGGCCAAGTCCCACATAAGAAAGCCAGTGCCGTTTCTCCGAATTTTCCCTTTTTGGAGCCCTCAGCAGCGCATGGGGGATAGCTCGCAAAACCCACGATGTATGTGCAGAGTTAGGGAGACGTCTCCCCCCGCTAAACCCACCCTGAACAGCCAGCAAAGAAGACCATTACACGAAGGCCCACCTGTTGTGTTTGGTTCAACATGGAGACCCGGGTGATACTACTGCAAGCTGACAGCTCGTCGAGATGCAAAAGCCTGGCCCATCGAAAACGATGGAATGCAAAAGTGCTTCAAGATACAAGTAACATGAGCATATAACCAGTAGCACAAGGCTAATACCTTGCTTTTGTCTGACAGACAGACGGACGGACGGACGGACGGCCGGCCGGACGGACCGATAGACAGTCAGACAGACATGCAGATAAACAAGCTGCTGGGTTTCGACGGGGAATGCTCAACTCGATGCGACAACCCACCCTGCGTGATGCAGCCGCGGAGATCTGAGCCCAAGCACAGGCGAGAACAAGCCTACCCCTGGGTAAACACCTGGTGTCCACGCAGGCACAGCCGCTCAACAATGAGAGAGTGCATCACAGATTTGCCGCGCTAGTGACGTGGGATCAACCTGAGTTTTCGATTTCGCAAAGCGGTTTCGGGATCAATCCCAATACCGTGGTCTCATGCTCCCATGCCCCATGTGCGGCCCCCTCCGTCCTTACTGCACAAGTAAAGCCTGGACTCAGACATCATCGGAGAGTCAAGGCACGATAAAAACAACACATGAAGCCTCAAGAAACAGTTGTGACAGCAGCAGCGTTGCTGCACACTGAAGATGCTTGGACGTCAGAGCGCTGTCCGAAAGCAAGTTCAGAAACTAGAATGACTATGCAAAAAACATCATCGCTCCCTAAACTTCTAAACCCTCCCCTGGATTTAACGCATGACAAGACGAGAAATATGNNCCCCCCCCCCCCCCCCCCGCGGCCTGGACCTGCAAAGGACACGTCGAGCGTGACGAACTCCACCTCCTTGCCTGCCTCCTCCCGGATCTTTTGTAGCTTAGGAGCCATGGCCTTGCAGTCGCCACACCAGGCCGCTGAGAAGTCCACCACCACTGGGCGCCCCAACCTTCCAGCAGCATTGAGATGGAAGTGGCTCACATTGAAGATCATTTTTGACTGCCAGGCCTTAACGCATCCTCCAGCTTTTTTGAGCCAGCGGCCAGTTCCTTGATGCTCTTGGGGCTACTGAGCTCGAGGCTCTCGGCCCAAGCAACGCCCGGAGCCGCAAGCGGTGCCGCAAGTGATGTCAACACAGTGCGGCGTGGACCCAGGAAGCCGAAGCCGCCCTCGGAAGCCGAGAGGGACAGGGCGAAGACGATGCCAGCCAGGCCACAGCTCAAAGTGCGAGACGCCCGCACCCGACCACCCAGCGTCCCCAAAACATTCAGGGCACCCGGTCGCCGTGGCCGTGCCATGGTGAGGACAGAGGTTCGACTCTCGGCTCGAGCAAACAGCGCGGACATAACACGCCTCTACGATCCTCTACGCCCCTCCCCGAAACACGCTTGGATTGACACCGGATTCTCTCCCGTTTCTTCTCTGCAGGGTTGACTTCTGGTTGCATGCCCAGCGGTGGTCTGCTTCATTTCACAAGTATTATGGGCTGGAACTCGTGCCCACAAACCCCGGAGTATGAATCCTGTCTGGCCGGAAGCTCCTTGACCAGTCTGAGCGCCGAACACAACTGCTGATCGGGGATTGTCTTTAACCAGCCTTGCGACATCTCGCCAGTCGCTTGCCGAAACCCGTGGGCGCTGGGGCTCGAAGCCTTTCAAGCAGCTCGCTTGGACCTCGGAGCGCTCCAGAACCTCCCGGCCGCTCTTGGGTCCGCTCGAGCTCAGGCCCCAACTCTGGTCAACGACCTTCCAGACGCAGCGGTCGCCAAGAGCGGCTTCCACCTGTTCCTCCAAACCATGAGCCCACGCAGAAAAGCACGTAAAGCGCCGATGCTACTTCCCATGACACCTCGGCAAGCCTGAACATCGCATCCTTTGCAGCTGTCATTGTGTCGTGTCACATGTGTCACGGCTCTCAGCTGCTTCTCCTCTCCGTGGCCTGCAGGATGATCCGAAGTTCCAGAAGCCTTGGTCCACGGAGTGCCAGCCGTGCCAGCCGCGTGGTGCGTGGAGCCGGCCGTGAGGAAGCAGACTTCCACGCCCCTTGCACGCAGCCTTGACGGTCGGGACCAAGAGAAGAGAAGCACAGCCTAGCAGCCTAGCACAGTCGATGTCCGACAGGCCGAAGCACCTTCGCATGATGGTCTTTACCCGCCGGCCGATTTCGCGGTAGGTCCTCAGCACTCGAGTACCTCTCAGATGGTCAACGAAAGCACGAAATGGACGCCAGAACTGGCGTGCCTCGGCGACGCCGCTCCAAAAGAACGATCCATCTCCAGAAAGTCTGGAAATCCACCAACACCTTTCTCAGTTTGCAGAGGTGGTGGCAGCAGTCTGGACAGATCCATCGAAACTCAAGCCTCAGATGCAGTCTGCTGCTCTTCGCTGATGACTGACGAGAAAAGCCTTAGCCTGCAGGATCTTCGATTGTCGCTCTCTGATTCTGATTGATTCTGATTATTGGATGATCTGGCCTGGGATGCCGATGTCGTGTCGGGGTACAGCGAGAGCGCCGCCTTGCCCGAGCGATTCAAGGTTTCGGCGGGACTCTGGTGGTGGAATGCCTGCCAGCCAGGAAGGCCGCAAACGGCGGGAACAAACCTGGCACGCGTGGTGCTGAGCACCGACAGAGCGGGCCATACGGAGCCTAGCGCAGTTGCGGAGCTTCTTGACGAACAGCTCTTTCTCGCACGTAGCCGTGCCCAGGCTGTGGCTCCTGTCGGCATGAAGAGTCGCCTTGCCGCCCTGCTTCAGTTCGGAGCTCATTGCCTTGCTGCCAACCCGATGTCGAAGGCGGTGCCAGGGGCATGCATGGCCTTCAACATAGCTGCAAAAGCTCGATGTACCTCTTAGACTCTTAGCTACGATCACTGCTGGCACCTTGTCCTGCAATCGGAAACCAAGCAGGAATGAAGCATTTCAAGTATGTGGATGGTTGCGACTCGCGACGAGTAAGAAATGTGCGGAGTGATGGGTGCCCTCAGGGTCTTATTGGACTCCAGGGCGTACAACCCATCAAAACTGCTGGTAGTGGACAACTGACAGCAAGCGACGAGAACCACACTTGTTGTAGAGCAGAGGTTAGAGTGGCTACCATGTCGCACCATGTGTAAGAGAACTCCACGATCAACATCAAGATGTAGCCGACATGCAAACGGAAGATATCGCGCGGACGCCGCGGATGTGCTGTGGAAGATCTGTGGAATCTGCACTCTGCATGGCGGCGGCTTGTCGGAGGCAGCTTTTTGATGG